CTGCCAACGCTGGTATTCTGTGAGAGACCCCAAGGGAAGAAGAAGAAGAAGAAGAAGAAAAAACTCCTGTTTTGGTAACCGCAGAGCCAGACTCACCTGGCAAGGGAGGGGGCAAGGAGGGCAAAGAGCATGGATACCAGCAGCCTGCCTTGCCAGCCTGGCTTTGGGGGCAGGTGGCCTCTCCGGTGGAGCCTGGCTTCTTCCCCAGCGGTTTCCTGCCTATCTGGGTGTCGACTGAACTCTCCAGGATCCGCTCTGGGCTGCCCGTCCCTCTGGCTCTGCCTTTGGGTCTCTGCCTATCTGTGGATGGCCGGATGCCAAACTTCCGGGAACACGCTGCTAATTCTGGATTTTCTTGATCAGGAAGATTAGCATTTTCTCAGCTCGAAGCGTGGCTGAAGGCAGCCGTGTCGGGTGATTAACGATCCCTTTGTTGCAGGATCCAATCTGGGTGGATCACTGGGACTGGAGGGTTATTCTTTCCAGTTCCTGAGCCTTTGGGATCCAGCACGAATCCGAAAGCTCGGAAGACAAAACTCTGCTCCAGGTGACCCACCCGGATTGGGTCCTGCCACATTACCCTGGGGGCCAGGCTGATGCGCCTTCATTTCAGGTGTTTTTGCCCCATCTGTCTCCTGGCTCAGGTGGTGGTGGGCTCGTCCGTCTCCCACCTGTCTGCCCCGCCCCCCATCCTGGCTCTTGCCGTGTCTCTCCTGGCTTGATGAGGGTGTCCTTTCACTTGAAAGAGTGCAGAGAAGAGCAACAAAGAGGATTAGGGGACTGGAGGCTAAAACATATGAGGCCTGATTCTCTCCTGAAAAAAAGCACCTTTGGGGGCATCCCTGCCTGAGAAGCTCCAGAGACGTTTAGAAGAACAGGGCTGGAAGGGACCTTGGGAGTCATAGCACAGGGACGGCATAGGTGGCACCTTGCTCAACAGTAGTAACTGTGAAATGGATCTTGGAGTCCTAGTGGAGAACCATTTAAATAGGAGCCAGCCGTGGGCAGCAGCTGCCAAAAAAGCCAACACAGTTCTAGGCTGCATCAACAGATAGAATAGAATCAAGATCCCGTGAAGGGTTAAGGCCACTTTATAAGGCCTTGGATAAGGCCACACTTGGAATATCTGCATCCAGTTCTGGTCACCACGATGTAGAAAAGATATGGAGACGCTAGAAAGAGTGCAGAGAAGAGCAAGGAAGATGATGAGGGGACTGGAGGCTATAACATATGAAGAACAGTTGCAGGAACTGTGTTGCGTAGTTGAATGGAAAGAAGGACCAGGGGAGACATGACAGCAGTCTTCCAATATCTCAGGGGTTGCCCCAAAGAAGNAGTAAAAGTACTCTTAATTCTGCAAAATGGAGTTGAGTGGTTTCTTTCTTGGTTATTAAGTGAAGGAGCCCTGACAGAAGCTAAGTTAAGTGGGCTACCTAACAGAAATAATGAAGTGAGATTTCTTCCAATTATCCCCCCACCCCCAAATAGCAGCATTGTAGAAATTTTCATCAGGACTACAGCAGGGAAAGAAAAATAGGGTTAAATATTAAAAGAACACAGGTAGTCCTCGGCTTATAACAATTCATTTAGTGACTGTTCAAAGTTCACGACAACACTGGAAAAAAGTGACTTATGACACTTTTTTCACTTTTACGGCCACTGCAGCATCAAAATTCCGGCGCTTGACAAGTGACACATATTTATGACAGTTGCAGAATCTCGGAGTCATGTGATCAGCTTGTGCGACCCTCTGACAACTTAACAACCGTGTTACTTATTTAACAGATGCAGGGATTCACTTAACAACTGTGGCAGGAAAGGATGTAAAATGGGGATGTAGAACTCACTTAACAACGGCCTCAGAGCAATTAGCCACAGAAATCTGGGGTTTAATGGTGGTCATAAATCGTGGACTACCAGTATTAAATAACAAGGCATAGTTAACATCATATTTACTCTGCCCCCAAATGGAAAAAGAAAGCTTCCTGATCCTACAGCCTTTCTTCAGTTCTTGGGAAAACAAACAAATAGTGGCTGGATATTACTATACCTAGAGCAAATGCCATCATATTACTTTTGACTGTGTTTATTTCTGTTCTCTAATTATACATGCATATTCATTTATGCCTTTCTATCTTGCTGTGTTCAGGGAAATCAAGTTAACATATACTGAGGTTCTCTCACTCAAAAGAGTAATGTTTGTGATTATGGTTATAACTGCCTCTATTGCATCATATTTAATTTTTCAAACATAAAGTACTGTTTAACTACAATACATAACACCCCCTGATTATAGAGAGTCCGGAAACTACGGAATGCATCCATTATCCCAACCAGCGTATAACCTACCTGATTCCAAACATACAGTGAACGTAATTAAATAAAGCTCTTCTTAACATGGTGGTGTCAACATCTTCATGGCTGGCCATGGTATTGTAGGTAAGGTTGTAGACCATCCGAAATTTCTCGTCCAGGAGATGGCCAATATCAGAATACAGTCTGTTCACAAGGGAGAAGCCATGATTTTCCCAAGTGTAGTCCTATAAAAAGAAATTAATAATTCCACCAATTTGTTTATGGTTCAGCAGTTTTTTTTCTACACCTAAACAGTTCTGGTACAGCAGGGGTGGGATTCAGCAGGTTTGGACCGGCTTGGGCAAACCGGTAGCTCTGACCATCAGCTGGGAGCAGAACAGTTTGTATCAGTGGTGGGATTCACATAATTGAACAACCGGTTCTCTGCCCTAATGACCAGCTGGGTAGGCGTGGCTCAGTGGTCATGTGACTGGGTGGGTGTGGCCAACCCAACGTCACCTACATTGATGGGCACTTAGCTGTTACAATGTAAGTAAGGGTTAACTGGAGAAGCAGTTTCTGTAAGCAAGGCAATAAAGATTAGGTTAGAAACAACACCAGAATGTTTCCTTCCTGCCTTCCTTACAGGATTAGCCCTGAAAAAGTGGGAAAACCAAAAGATTTGTTTTGAAGAAAAGCCAAGGATGCTCACTCCAAAAAACTTAGGGCTGACAAGAAGCTGCTTTCTTTACTTCTTATTTTGGTTCTCCATCAGTAAATTTACACGTGTCATGTAAGAGTTACCTGGGCTCGAAATGTTGGAAGATGATCTTCCCCCCGTCTTGCAAAATCTTTGTAACCAAACCCAGGGTCTTCAACGTAGCAGGAAACATCGCCGATGGAAATTAATTCGTCATCAAACTCTGTTAAAGAAAAGGACAGCAGACAGTAAAATATACCTTCCCCCCCCCCGATCAGATTCATCTCAAAACAATTGTATGTTATCAAATGGGGCATGAGCCTGGGGTTGGTTTCCCATTAGCTTCCCCCAACCTAATCTTACTTCCTAATTTAGAAAGGAAATTGAGCCGCGGTGGCACGTTGGTTAGAGTGCAGTACTGCAGGTTACTTCTGCTGAAGACGTCTCCGTGGTCATGTGGCCGGCATGAATAAACGCCAAAGGCGCACGGAACGCTGTTACCTCCTCATTAAAGGTGGTCCATATTTTTCTACTTGCATTTTTAAAAAGTTTTCGAACTGCTAGGTTGGCAGAAGCTGGAACAAGTAACGGGAGCTCACTCCGTTACGCGGCGCTAGGGATTCGAACTGCTGATATGCCGGCCTTTCTGGTCAACAAGCGCAGCATCTTAGCCACTGAGCCATCGTGTCCCTATGGATTACCAGCGCCAACCATTAAAAGCAGGGCATCTCTCTTACCAAGAAACCCTCCATCCATTTTCTCCTCTCTGCCAACTAAATGTTCAAAGGATTTAAGTTTGCTAAATACTCTTTTTGAAGCTTGACTGCTGCAAAGGTGTTTGCAAATTATCTTGATTCCCTATCTGGGCTGACTCCCAGGCATCCCAATGAAATTGGGTGGGGAACCTGCTCTGTGTCTATTAGTAGCCCCATTAAAAAGAAACCCTTGAATTCACCCAACTGTTACAAGGCCACCTTTATTTATTTATTTTTAATTCTGGCTCATTAGCCAATTAAAACATAAGTATGTGGGAAGAAACCTTATTGGCAAGCATCCAAATAGTTTCTTAATGCGGTTTAAGAAATCAGAAGTTGTCAAGCCTTGAATTACTTTTTGTTTTGTGATTGATTCTTGCCATCTCTTTTGAAACAGGCTTTCTGGAAGTTATGTGACAGCACTTTAAAAAACAACAACCTCCAACATGTTATTAAAAACAGAAACTAAGCAGTAAAAGAGTCTCTATCTGCCTTGTCTTTGCAGCCTATATCCTTTTCCTTTTCCATTCTGAGTGGTATAAAAAAACGTTTACTGCATGGGATAATTTGCTCCAAAACCTTATTTTTTTAAAAAAAGTCAAGGTTGATTAAAATACTTAAAAAGTTATTTAAAGGCAAAGGAAGTGCTTTCAGGCTGCTAACCAGCCCCATGGCTGCATGTTCCCCTGCGCTCTTCCCCCAAGGCCTCAAAGCAAGGGTGCCAAACCCCAGTGGCCGGATCTGGCCCATGAGGTGCTTAGATCTGGCCCATGGGGCCACCTTGGAAACAGCGAAGGTATGGCCTGCAGTGCCTTTGTCAGCAAAATGGAGGTTGTGAGGGCTTTGTGCAGCCCTCCCGAGCTCCGTTTTCACTGGCAGAGGATTGCAGGAGTCCGTCACAGCTGAAAACAGAGCTTGGAAGCCTGTTTTGTCTGGCAGAGCGTTCAGGCCAGTGGTGGGATTCAATTTTTTTTACTACTGGTTCTGTGGGTGAGGCAGGAGAAGAATACTGCAAAATCCCCATTCCCTCCCCACTCTCAAAATTTCTGCTACCGGTTCTCCAGAACCTGTCAGAACTGGCTGAATACTACCTCTAGCTGAGGCCCATGGGTTGCTTAGATCTGGCCTGCGGGACTATCCTGGAAACAGTGAAGATCTGGCCTGTAGTGCCTTTGAAAGTGAAAATGGAGCTTGTGAGGGCCGCTTGTGGCCCTCCCGAGCTCCATTTTCACTGGCAGAGGGTTGCAGGAGGCCGTCGCGGCTGAAAACGGAGCTTGGAAGCCCATTTTTCCTGGCAAAGCGCTCGGGCCACCACAGGCGCCCCTGACACAAGTGACATCAAGCTGGCCACGCCCCCTGCCCACGTTCCCCCTGCCCTCTCAAGGTCAAACACAACCCTGATACGCCCCTTAATGAAATCGAGTTTGACACCCCTGCCTTAGAGCCATGTTTCACTCCTTTTTGGAAGGCCAGTAGGGGCCTGCCTCACTTCCAGGAGAATAATAATCCACATGGCAGAGGTGATGGCAAAGGGTTCCACCACAAAACCACGGTAGATTAAAGCGTGTGTGACTAAAGCGCGGTGACAAAACCGCATCGTCAAAAACGCGCGACAACAGCGCGCCGACAACATAACCCTAAAAATAACCCTAAACCTAACCCTAAACCTAACCCTAAACCTCCCCTAAACCTACCCTAAACCTAC